GCAGCTACCCACCCACCCCTCTTAACAGGGCTGAAAGCTTGTCTTCACTTACTTGTTACTCATCATAAGCACTTCGAGCTCCTTGACGTTGTGGACCAGGAACTTCCTGAACCCAGTGGGCAGCATGTGCTTTGTCTTCTTATTGCTACCGTAACCAATGTTGGGCATCAAGATCTGGCCCTTGAATCTCCTGCGGACTCTGTTGTCGATACCCCTCGGCTTACGCCAGTTGCGCTGTGAACGATGCGAGAACAATGTTTTGACCCAACAGCATGCCCAACGTAACAGCCTGGGCTTAACTGCACATCGCTCTTTGCAGAGCCAAGCCCCCCCCTCCCACCGTGCGAGTCTTAATCGCCCCTTCACATATGGTGTTTTCTGGGCTTTAACTCTGCATCAAACAGCTCCCTGCGCAAGCTCTCGGGAGAGACAGGCCTACCTTGATCTTGACATAGCGGTCGGACTGGTGGCGAATGAACTTCTTGGTTCTCTTCTTGACGATCTTGGGCTTCACCAGCGGCCGGAGGGCAGGCATGGTGTCTGCGGGGTGGCCAAAAGGGTGAGGCAAGGGCAGAGACTTCCCCGCCCGCACCCCCAATCTCTGCCCTAGCCCAGCCTCTGCAGGGCCCCGTGTCCCGCAGCCCCCCCGCCCCCCCCCGCAGTCGCAGCCCTAGTGCTAAGGGGGACACCAAAGAGCCCGTACTAACAGTGCTAAAGACCGGGGCTCTGGAGGGCCTGTGTCCCGCAGCACCCACTTAGCACCAGGGCGCATGCGCTGCAGGGCAGCAGAGAGGCCCAGCTCGTGGCTCCGCTGCGGCAATACGGGGCGGCGGCAGCGGGGGGTGCCGCCCGCAGCGCGGGGGAGGCGGCGGCAGCGGGCTGCGGGCGGCCCCGGCGCAGGATGGCGGCGGATCGTACTCACCGGCGGGAGCGCTGCGGCCACCGCGGCAGGCAGCGCGGAGAGAGGGAGGGGGCGGCCCGCGGGGGGTGATGGGAACACTGCCGCGGGTCCTGGCAGGTCAGTGCAGCCGCGGGACGCACTCAGCGGAGGTGGGGTGGGGTGGGGTGGGTAGCCGCGCGGCCGCCAGGCAACAGGGGAGCTACGCGCAGCTTCGAGGCGGTTTGCTGCAGTGGTGATGTCAGCCATGGCCACGCGTGGGTTTTTTCCCCCGCTACAATATCATCAGGTAAGTTATACCGAGCTGCCAGGATCTGGCCTTCAAGCACCGTCGGCCATTTATGCGCAGGCGCAGAGGGTGGTGGAAGCCATTCCGCCAGTACTGCTGCCAGTACCTGAAGCCCCCTAGTGGCATGGTCTGGGTAGTGCTGCATGGAGCCCGCTGGGTGCGGTGTTCCTCTTCTGCACCCCTCGCTGCTCCGGACGGGAGGGGTTGGTGCACTAAAGGGTGTTTGACGTAATTGCTTTTAACAGTGACGTGATAATGAACCTTACTCTTGACATAATCAATACCATGTGCTGTACTGGCTTCAGTTGCTAGCTAAGGACCTGCCATGGGTGAGTCTTTGCACAATAAATGTAGACCAACCATGGTGCAAAGTAATGATCCTCCTGCCATAAAATGGTCACCCAGCCATAAAAAGAGCCAGCCTGCTACAGAGTTAGTGCTTGAAAATGGGTGACAACTTTATAGCTGGTTTCTAGTCAGCTTTAATTTGAACATGTGGCAGGGCCCTTGGAGAGAGGAACAAAACTTGATAAATTTCATCTAATGCAAGTTTCAATTTGGGTTGTCTCATCAGAATATCATTTTATATTCTTCACTTGAATATGAATTAAGGTCTTCTGAGGATCAGCTTGAGGACTAGAGGTTGCTGGTAAGTGCTTGGTGTTTGCCCTAACCATAATGTACTATGCCCGGACTAAAATACAGTAAATACAGCCCAAGCATCTGGCAAAATGTACAGCAAAAAGGCCGCTGAGTCCAGTTCTCGTGATTTCTTTACATTTCTTCAATATTGAGGTAAAAGAAAAAAAAAGACCAGACTTTTGTTAATCCTTCCCTGGTTGCTCAGAGATGCTGCAAATGGATGTTATACTTATTCATGCCCCACAGATATGTCCCATTCCTTACCTGTGTGGCAACAGAATACGTTTGTACAAAAAGGAACAAAGTTATCTAAGATCAACAACATTTCCTGTGACATTGCAAATAATTCCTTTTTTTGAAAGAGCATTCCCATTCTTGAGCTGAGGCTGATCTTTACTCAAATGATATGCATCTTTGCACACCTTTCAAAATACCTTTGTTTGAATGTGAACTGGTTCTTTTCAAACCACAGGCACTCAGCGTATCCCTGCCTCGCTCCTCAGGTGTACAGATGGAGTAAGTGCTTGGTTCAAAAACTGGCTAATTTGGGACATGAACCCTGTCATTCCCCACCTAACAGCATTCCAGTGCCTGCCACCAGGCTCAGCTCACCAGGAGAATAGGTCTGCAAGGCACCTCTCTGAAGTCATCCAGGCCACCACGTGCAAGAGCATTTCAAACTCCCCCCTTCAAAACTCTGATAGTTCTTCAGCCCCATCCCAAATTGAAAGTGAAAACATACTATTAACAGCAGCCTGTCAGCATCGGAGCTGTGAACTCTTATTTGTCCCATAGGTGCCATGCAATGATTTAACAGTTCTGGTCATCCAAAACAGAGTAGACAAGGTCTCTACAACCAGAACATCCAACAGTCTGGGGTCCACTACAGCAGCAGAACAACTCCAGCCCCAAGCGTGCAAGTGAAAACAACTGTCCTAATTAACCTAACCTTTTTAGGAGCTACAAGGTGAGGTACCTTCTCAGGGGACCGGGCTCCAGATCATCCTATACCGTTCTATAGATCAGGGATTGCTCCTCTCCCCCTCTTCACAAGTCAAAGCTTTACAGCTAACCAAGCTTACAATTGTGCTTGAAGTTCAGCATATGACTGGGCCTTACATTTACAGCTTATCACCTCACATTTACAAATTCCTCTTCAGTGGTTTCAGATGGAGATGGTCAACACTGAACTAAAAGCTGTAATTTAGCAAAGTAGAGCTACAGGGAAATTTCAAAGCTAGAAAATGTTTGGCATGGCAGTATTTATTTAAACAAATGGATTCAGATTTTCCTCTATTTCTTCACTTTTTGTGCCAGTGGAAAAAAAGGAGGGGAGATAAAACACAGTGCAAAACAAAACAACCCAACACTCTCCTCTTTTTACTTCCTCTTGAAAGAAAGTTTGGAAACATCTAGGGAATGGAAAATTAAGGGGAATCCCACTGCTTCATTTTTTCCATGTGTAAGTATGAAAAACACTGAAGTGTTAAGTGCTTGACACAATGATACAGGTTCCCCCCCACTCCGAGTACACAATCCAAAGCATCCAAACAGCCTGATTTAAAACCCCCTTCCTATTTCAATGTCTTATGTCTTAAGATCATGTGTCAGTCACCCTAATTCACCAGTACAAACCTGGATGACAGAACTTCATTTCTGATGCAGAGAAACACCAGAGCTATGGGGAAAATTAAGTTGGTATTGTTAACTAGGAAAAAGTTTGCCAAGGAAGGAAGACCTGTATCATTGTGTCAAGCAGTTAACACTTCATTTTTTTCATATTTACATATGTAAAAATTGAAGCAGTGGGATTCCCCCAGCTTTTCCATTCCCTAGATGTTTCCAAACTTTCTTCCAAGATGAAGTAAAAGAGGAGAGTGGGGTTTTTTTGCATTGTGTTTAATCTCCCCTCCTTTGTTCCACTGAAACAAAAGGTGAAGAAGTAGAGGGACATTTGAATCCATTTGTTTAAACAAATACTGTAATACTAAATATTTTCTAGCTTTGAAATTTCTCCGCAGCTGTACTTTGCCAAATGACAGCTTTTAGCCCAAATCCCAGAGGCAGCTGGAAGCAGGAAGAGGGACTGATGAGCAACTGTGCAGAGTCTTGTTGTGATTCTGGACTGCAAATCCCAGAGATCTTGGGGGCGCACGAAGAAGAAGTGAACACACAACCCATGCTGGCCTGTGTGCCAGAGAGCCATGCTCTAGCACTCCCCAAGCTCCTGGCTTGAGCTACTGCAGGCATGTGGGCTGCATTTCCCAAATGAAAAGTGAATGTCTGTTCATTCGCTTATTGGTTCAATCTTTGCAGCTTAGACTAACCTACAAAGACTGAATCAATTCAGCCTTGAGTTTTTTGACTATCTGTACTTAGCCCAAAGGAACATAATGGCTGTAGGAACATAACAAGGACTTTGCCCAGCGTTTCAGAACAAGTTATTTCTTACTTTAATACAATGGAATACTTTTATTATAGGCAAAAATAATTTTTTTTTCCATTTTCCTCCTTTGTTTTCTTCACTGCTTTGGTACCTGTCTTCAGTCAGAGTTCAGTCTGGTGCCTATGCCTCTTCCATAGCTCAGGGGCTGTTCTCTGATTAGCTGACCTACCCACCCTGCTCCAGGTAAGCTTGTATGACTATGGCTGGCCCCACCTGTTAAAAGAGGATGCTTCTCCTGCCCCCAGTTTCCCACCAGATTCAAAGAGTCTGTGTCAGAATCTGTAATCCTAGAAATAGACCATGCTAAATCTGGTTGAATTCTTGGACACTGGGTAGTGACCCAGGTAGTCACTTCCAGTTTTATGCCCCTCTATTCCTGTGATCAATGGTTTCCTATACCAGTGAGTTCCACAGCTTAACTGCATCTTGTGTGAAAACGAAATATTTCTTTTATTGAAGGGTTTTGTCTTTTTCACTTTTCAACAACAGTGAATTTCCACTTTTTCGTGCCTTGCAAGCCTGGGAGAGCAGAAGTTCCCAATCTACCTTCCTCAGATCATATGCTTATGTCCCTCCTTATTCATCTCTTCTCTTAAACACCCTGGTCTTTCTATAGTCCATAGGAGAACTGTTCAGGAAGAGATCATGAAGCTTTTTTTGCCACAAGGCTGTGAAGTGCTGGTTTCTGTTTCAGATTAGATTTGAAGTCCTGGCTTCCCAGAGGCATTTCGTTCTTTGTTCGCTTGCCCAAATTCTGACTCTGCTCAGTTGGCTGTAGCTGTATCATCAGCACTCTTCTCCGCGCATGCTACCTCCACCATGGTTCCTAATCCCCTTTCTGGCTGAGCTGGGAGTCCACAGGAGAACTGTCCCAGGCTTTCACCCCTTCTCTGTTCTTCCCTGAACCAATGTCCAATTTGGCAAACATGGAAGACTAAACAAACTCCCACCCCCATACGTCATGGCTGAAAATCCCCACTATAGCCTGAGGTCTTTAACAAGGGAAATTTAAAGAAGATGGAATAACCCACTTAGTAAAAGAACAGAAAAACATTTTCTACAATAGGTCACATATAAACTTAACTTCTCTATTTCGTTACTGTGCTACGCCAGTTCAGGTACCGATTGAAAAGTATTCTTCGGAGAATTCAAGCCACAGTCATAGATTTCATAGACATTTGGGCTGGAAGGGACCCCGGAGGATCGAGTCCAGCCCCCTGCCCCAGGGGCAGGAAGTCAGCAAGGATCATAGGATCCCAGCAAGATAAGCATTTCACCTGCATTAACAAATGGAACATTCTCAACGTCTGGATCTTTTTTCAGAGAGCTGCTATCTAATCCCCCGGGAAAGCTAATCCAGCGACAGATCTATGCATTGTATTCCACTTTTTGTTGATTTGGTTATGACCTAAGCAGAGCAAGTTTCCAAGGAATTCCAAATACGTATTAGGTTGTATTTCAAGGGGCACTTTAAAACAAAATAAATATTCCAGTGATAGAAAAACTCCCCACACAGCCATTTGGTGAACCAAATCTAGGCAAGCAACCTTTCAAGCTGGTTCCACCCTCACCACCTTCTCTCTTGTATACTTCCTCTCTCCTGTCCCATCTTCAGTTCTGTCATTTTTCCACTTGTGGAAGAAAGGTAAGTGAAAAAGGTAAGAAAAAACATTCTAAGTAAAAAATAATAACCTCACTTTTAAGGGGGATTCTCTCTATTCATATCTTTAATACCAAACTCTTACGTTTTCCAGGCAGTACAAAGCCTAATTCAAATCAGGGGAAACTGGAGGAGCTGTATCCAGATTCTGCAATCAAGTGACACTGCAAAGTTTTTAACTTCTCCTCTTTGTTAAGTTCCCAGGTTTGGTTCAGCGCATGCCCAAGGCGATCATGTTTCTCAGAAGTGCTCTGCTGGGAATTCTTCTTTTCTGCATTCTCTATACAGAAACTACTCTGGCTGGCTCCAGTTTTTTAAGCCCTGAATACCCAAGGACACAGGTAAAATTAAGAATATTCTTCTCTTCTTAATCCAAACCACTTTCCCTTAGAATTACCACTTGAAACCAAATGACTTTATGTTGAAGCAATACTCAGAAAAAAGGTCAATCTGCCTCAGTATCATGAGGGATAAGGCCTTTGAGATTTATCTCAAATGAACATGAACCGTTAAGGCTGTATCTGCACTTGAAAGATTGGGCTCCTGAAGTGTCTCCAGCAGTAATAAAGAACTATAGTGTAGATAGGATTCTGATAATGTTGCCACTGTCTATCCCCATTCAAACCAAGATAAAACAATGGGAGAGGAAAACAACTTCCGCTAGTGAAACAGTCCGTATGGCAAACTGTAAATTTCCCAGCACAGACCAGGGTTAATTGTTTGCCTACGGAAAAAAAAAATTTACACTGGGTTACTTTTCAGCAGCAGAAAGATGCTAAGAAGCCTAACACCAAATTACACCGCCGGGGCACAGAAGGAGTTTTGGATACAGATGAAAAACAGGCAAAGGGACACAGCAATGAAATTGAAGTTAAGGTGTGTATTTTGCAATGGATTCAATGAGGCTGGGCGGGTGGGGTGGAATTGTGGCTTTTTGTTTTATATCGTCGCACAGTACAAAATGCAAGAAAAATTTGTCACGAAAGGTAACATATATTCATAGTCAGTTTGAGCAGTTAAAACGAGCGCTTGAGACTAAATTGTTGATAATCTTAAAATCTGAAGAGGCTGAGAATTATTGCAAAGAATACAACTGCAACCTGCTACCAACTTAATACCAATATTTATTTTCACTGTAGAATTCCTAATATTTTACTTTAGGATTGTTTTCTTTCAGTAACCTCATACTTTGTTGCAACGTTTGCCCATAACAGCTGTCCACAGCAATCACTGTTGCTCAGGTAGAGAGTAATAATTATTTCAGGACAAGCTGATGTTTGGAGAAGACAAACCTTCAGGCAGTTCAGTTACCATACTTCTTTTGAAGATAGCATACAATCTCTGTGCACTCAAGAGCAGAAAGAATTTGAACCCTCTTTAAAAGGAACGGTTAAGCCATTCTTTTGATTTGGTGTTTTCATTTTAGTGCAATGTCCCCTTTGAAATTGGTGTCAAGATAACAGAAGGACAGTACCAGGAGTATGGACAAAAGCTCGAAAGGATCTTAGAGGACATGCTTACAGGGGAGCCAAAAGGTATTTTCTGCACCATCAAATCTTTCAGAGAAAGAAAAGATTGCCAGGCAAGCTTGCCAAAAGGCCGTTACCTATTGTGGGATACTAAACCTTTACACCAGAGATCAGCAGCCCCTGGCACACATGCCAGAGCATGGCATGCAAGGACATTTTGCTTGGCACACCACTACCCACCCGGACTCCACACAGCTACTGCCAGCCGCGCAGCCTGGGCTGCTCCCAACAGGCAGCTGGGAGACTGCAAGCAGCCTCGCTCCATGGCTGGGAGCAGATACCCAGTCTGGGCTGGTTGCAGGGGCAGCACCAGCCTCTTCCTGGTGGAGGGGCTATGCTGCTGGTGGGAGTGGGGTGGGCTCAGCTGTGCAGGGCAGGTGGTGGTGGCCCAGGCAGTACTGGGAGGGGTGGGCTCAGCTGCACGGGATGGGTTGTGTGGCCCAGGCAGTGCTGGGAGGTGTGGGCTGTGGCCCAGGCAGTGCTGGGAGGGGTGGGTGGTGGCGGCCCAAGTGGCACTGGAGGAGTGGCTATAGGGTGGGGAGCCTAAGACAAATTTGGAGGTGCACGGGCAGTCACCGCCAACAGAGCTGGAGCCATGGCTCCGGAGTGCTGGCATCAGCTCTGCTGTTGGCGACTGCATGCGCACCTTCAGGCACAAGTTGGGGAAGGGGCCCGAGGCAGCACACACATGCATGCCTGCCTCCGCATGGACAGCAGTGGAGGGGCCAGGGTTGCACTGCCCCAGCCCCACCACCCTGTGCTCCACACATCCAAGAGGATGGTGGGGGAGAGACCTGGGGTTGCGCTGCTTTGGGCTTCTCTTCCGCCCCAAGGGGTGTGTGCAGCCATCACTGAGACTCTGGAGTGTGGGGCACAGGGGCACTGCTGGGAAGGGCTTGGGGGCAAATAGCCACTCCAAAATTCACCATAGGGCCTCCCCCCAACCCTGCACCACCAGGGCCACCACCACCCACCCTGCCCCACTCCCACTCAGGTGGTTAGTGCTTTTCTCTTCTCTATTTTTCCTCTCTCCTCATCTTCTATTTCTTCTCTTTTTCCTCTCTCTTCTCTCCTTCCTCTTTCTCTCCCTCTTTTTCTCTTCTTTCTCTCTCTCATCACAACATGCTTAACAAAAAAATACACAACAGAGGTAGTATATGAAATTTTATTCATTGTCACCAGGTTTGGAATTTTTAGAAAACCTGGTATTTACTGTAAAAAAAAAAAAAAAGCAACATTTTGTAATTATTAATTATATTAATATGCAGTGTGTCCTGCCATGTACCTCCCGCCCCGGCTTTGTTTTTTTGGCATGCTGGCACTCTGGCCCCTTACAAGGTAGACATTGTAGTTTTTTTGGCACTGGCCAAAACATTGCCTACCTCTGCTTTACACTATGATTTCAGACGGCCACTAGCCATTTTGGGTGCCCACTATGAAACCCTGTAAAGAGGCCTATTTTTTAGAAACTGAGTAAGGAAGCTTTAAGTAACCTTATGTTGAGCACCAAAATATGAAAATACTAAAAAAAAAAAAAAAAAAGAATCACAAGCCACTTTTGAAAAGTCAGTATTCCCATATGCTTTCAGCCAGTATCTTTTTTTTTTAAACCAGTAAAAGGCAAACAAAATAATTTTGGATGCAAAAAGAGGCAAATTGGCTGACTATACCACCACATCAAAATCAGTCATCTTATTTTTGTGTTTGAGACCCTTCATATTTCTGTGTTTCTCTGCTCATCCACTCGTCCTTATTGTGTTGGCTCTTTACCCCCTATTCTGCCAACAATGCCAGCTTTCATCACTCAGTTGTTTGTCCTTGCTATAAATGTCTTTTCACTGTTTGCCAACACCTCCTATAAATGGATCTGAAAAGCTACTTTGCTGTCCTTCAAATCCCTTCTCAAGCCCTACATCTTCCAAGTCACATACATGTCTGCCGCTATAAGCAGCAAGCATACACAAACCCAAATCAGTGTCTTCCTCTCCTTCCTCTTCTGACAAGACTACATTGACAGAAGCCAGATCTTGGTTGGGCTTCTGGGAATTACAATATAAAAACCAAAATAAATCTCTGTCCTTTGCCCTTTCAGAAATCCAAGTGGAAAACTGACAGGAGTTGAAGGACACCAGCAGCACATGATGACCTTTATTACAACAAAACTCTGCTTTCGAGTTGTACACCTGATAATATTCTTTTAAAAAACAGATGCCTGGGGCTGAATAGTTTACATTTTTAAACCATTTGGGTGAGAACAGACCTTTTTGGGAGGGAGGCAAGAGATTAAATAACTCGGTAAAGAAAACCAGCAGCCACCTGACTTCTAAGTTGTTTTACTTTTATTTTTTTCTTAATTGTATCACAAATGTTCTAGGATGTGTTTGGAAGCCATTTGGACCTTTTCTGCCAATGGAGGGAGAAGACTTGTGTATGCTTCTGCAACCGAAAATAAAAGTAGTATTGAAACTGCAGTAATTTTTTGCCATTTCTAAAATTATGTGAAGAAACTAGATGCAAGTTTGAGTCTCTGTTATACACATCAGCTTAATATGAGGAGCTGCACATAAAAATAACCCTCAATTAGCCTAGTCACTTTACTCTGTTGTTGATGCATCTGTTTCAAAGGGTATCACACCCTCTCACACCTCTTCTGAAGTTAGTGAGGATCTAGCTGTCATTTTCATTAGAGACAAACTAGTGCCCTTAGTGGTTCTACAAAGAGAACATCAAATTATATTTTCACAATGTAATTTTCACAGTGTAAAAGGTATAAACTGTCCCTCCTTTGAATGCATCAAATTCATGAGCGAGAGCTGCCCTAGGAGCAGGCAGTCCCCACTACTGAGATACACTCTCATGCAATGGTGAGGATGGTTTCCCACTCAACTGTTTCTCTCAATTGGCTGACTTAAGAGAGACCATGTGTCTTTAACAATATTTTTAAAGGGAATACTTAAAAAAAACCAACCCTATATATTCCAAAACCTTCATATAAAACAGGAAGCAAGTGCCTAACTGATGCTAATATCAGAATGGAAAATCTGTGAAGCAGAGGGGTGGAATGGAACTTGCCTTCGTACCATCATTTCAGGGTTCGGAGATGGGTTTGGAATTCCTGCCTGGAATGGAGGCTGAGCAAACAGGCGGAATCAATTTACAGAAATGCATTTAGTTTATAGAGATCCATGCTCATGATTTTGCAGTCTTTCTTAGAAATTTTTATTTAACATTTTTAAATATTTAAATTTTTTTTAAAAAGTTTCAACTGTAGTTCCAAATATTATTTAAAAAGTTACTACCCCTTGTTAAAAATGTTAAAAAGTCTTCTGAACGCAAGGATAAAAGTTGACATGAAATAGTAAAAAAAAAAAGAAAAAAAAAAAAGAAAGAATTCTACAAAAAAAACCTGGTTTGAGAACTGTATTTATCAAGGTTTTTGGCACTTCTTTCACAGAGGCACTTGTCTTCATAACAGTTTGATCGCAGCCCCACAGAACCACCTTTGGGATGGGATTCCACAAAACAAAATACAAGTCAGGTTAAAGAGGGTTGTTGTAATGTATAGCCAAGCTTCGTTTCTCCTGAAATTAAAACCCACCGCAGCCATAAAATTATGTGTAGGTGGATCAGCTCTAGCAGTCATAACATTTTGCTAAAAAAGGTTTAAAAGCTTATTTAGTATCTATAGCACATGCACTTCATTATACCTTTCAAGGAAAGGGGTCCATACCTAAACAACACCAACTTAACTGTGTACAGCGTTTTCATTGTGTTGTGCAAGGAACTGGGTACAGTTTTGCATCAAATTCTCTGCTTCAGTATTTTCTCTTTACTGCATGGTCTCAGCAATTAGGTGCTTTTAGAGGCTATGGTTGATGCCCATTTACCCTTTGGGCTCTAGCTGTTCTCGAATCATTCAGGTCAGGAATGGTTCAGGAGTTACAAGCTATTTACTCTTTTGAATGGACCAATACCTATAAAACTGGACAAAATTCCACATTTCCCAACACTAGTTCTCCTTGTCTTCACCTCAAGGAAAACTGATCTCACAGACACTGGCACCTTCTCTAGGGGTGTGCTCCAAGGGGAGGTAAGCCAACAGGAAATTAAACGGAGATGTGAAGGGACATGGATAAATAGAAATGTGTAACTCTTATGAGGCAAGTGGAAATGACAAGTCAGGAGGGGCTAAGTGTCACCACTGGGACCAGAGTCACAGGATGTGATACAAGTGTCCCTTCAAAGTTTCTCCCTGTTTAACAGCAGTCTTCCCAACCTAGGACTTCTCTACCTTAACTAGCGCCTTCCTAGACATCATAGAGACTCTTTGTGTTCTGCCTTAAATTAGCCAGGGTGAGGGAGAGTGGTAGGCCTTTCAGATGGGTGATTTCTCTCACTGTGTGCAAGGCGAGTCCTGGGTGAGAATACTGGCACATGCTTTTGGGAACCTGCGAAAACATTAAAGAAAGGGCAGAGTCAGGAACAGTGAATCTCTTCAACTCTGCAATACTCAAGACTAATCAGAAGTTACCTTCATGTTAAGCCTTTTATTTGGGCCTGGACACTTGTCAGAAAGCATCTTTCCATAATGGTGTTTGATGCTTTGGTTCAGCCTTTTTTCCCAGAGCACTTCATAAAAGCAGCTGCCAGCAAATAACCCACGTAAACAGCACAAGAGGCCATAGAGGCTGGAATACATCCCTGTCTTAAAAGGACAGCAGAGAAGACAAAACTTCCATTTTTAAAGTTCTGTCTGACAGACCAGTGCAAAATTCAGTACATCAACCATAGATGGACAATGGGCTGATTTGGTCCTGCTGGAATCTGCATCTAGGATGCAAGAGTGTCTACAAATTCAAATCTGAGGCTTGGGTACTGTTTGTAAAGAGAAGAAGCTACCAGGCAAGAGAGGCTAAAACTTGCCTTCCCAGCCATACACTTTTTGGAAACCAGGGGCAAAATATAGGCCTACACATGCTTCTAGCTGCTTGTTTGTAGGTGTCCTATCAGTCAGCCTCAACATGACGGAAAGACCTTGTAATCAACACTGGAGAGAAGAGTTACTGAGCATTTTATAGAAACATTCTTACCTGTCTTGGAAGGAAGTATGGAGCATCTGTTTCTACAATTATTCTGTTCAAAGGGATTTTCCTGACAGTCTCTCTTGCTTCAGCGGCAGATGAATAGGTCAGCAATGCAGTGAATCCCACCGAAAGATTTGGGAAATGCTTTAGCAATGGCTCTAAGACATTGTAACTGCCAGTAAAACAGTGCCTAAAGGTTAAGAAAGTGTTGGTTATTCTCCAAGGTAACAACTGTCAGTTCTGAAAGAAGGTGACAGAGACCAAAGAAGATTACATAGTAAGGATCCAAAGAATCCTGTTGGTGTGTTTATATATTTATTTTACAAATCCCATTTCAAGTCTCAATGTTCCAGTGGAAATGGATTCTATCAGCCACAGACTTCTCATTTTGCCATTCCCTGCAATAGAATTCTGGTTTCATTTGTGATTTGTACAAGTGTGATTTTTTCTTAAAATAACCAAGCAAACGTTTTAGCATAAAAGAAATGTGATTTGGCGGCACTTAAATGAGTTTTGGTATCCTCTAGAGGACCACACTTCCCTCTCTCTCTCCCCCCTCACCCTGCAACCTGATCTCCACCCCACCCAGAGCTGCAGCACACCCCAATGCCCACCCTGCCCAGAGCTGCAGCATGCCCTGATTCACACCCCACCCAGAAGTTGCTGGCTGCATCCGCAGCTTATGCCAGCACCCTCCTGATGTTGTGGAAGCAGCCCCAGGCAGGCGCTGGCATCAGCTATGAACGTGGCCAGCAGTTTCCAGGTAAGGATTGGGATGTTCCCACCCCGACTGGGGCTGCAGCATGCCCAGTTCCCCACCACACCTGGAACCTGCCAGCCACATCCACAGGTTATGCCAGCACCCACCCAGCCTGTTGGAAGCAGCCGCTGGCAGGTGCCAGCATCAGCTGGGGACGTGGCCAGCAGGTTCCTGGTGGGGATCAGGGCATCTGCCCAGGTCCACAGCTAACACTACTGTATCAGTCCTGGGCAGAAGCAGTCCTGCCGGCCCGACCAGCACAACAGAAACAGCTGTGCCCACCCAACACCATGCGGCGGCTGGAGCTACTGGCTGTCTATGGACTGGACCCTGTGAATTTGTGGCCACCTGCCTGTGAGCCAGGTACAATCAGTTGGTGGAATGGATTCAGCCCACAAACTGTATTTTTCCCCACCCCCCAGCCTAAAGGGAATAAATCACTTTTACATATCTTAATTTAAAAATTAAGAAAATCAAAATGGATTAGAGAAAAAAGTTTCCTCTCCTCACAGATTTTTTTACTTTCACTCTGTTTTCAGTTTCCACCCCCGGCTCAAAGTCACATTCTTCTGTGTAAGTGAGGGAAAGAAAACCTATAAAAACCTAGTTAAATTTCTACACATTTGATTATTTGTCATTTTATTCATGGCAGTATTAATGCTGACCAATACTGAATCAAAAGTGCTTTTTAACATAGTGAAGAGAGCTAGCTACCTGTGTATCTTGTAGTCACTGGGCACAAACTTTTTCATGATCTTCAACAGATCATCATCTGCCTCTCTGCAATGTATTACTAAGGGTTTCCGTAAGGACACTGCCAGTTGCAGCTGCCTTTGAAATACCTGAATAAAAAATAAAGTCAGAATTAAGACAGCCTTAAGTTTTACTGGAATTATTATAATAGAAAAGAAAATACGGAGGCCAGGGGGACAGAGGGAAGCACTTTATTGAACTCAGTTGATTTCTAGTAATTCTACGTTTTAAGTCAGGACCTTATCAGACACAGCACAGAGGTATGATGGTAATGGGTAGATTAAATTTCTATTAAAAGAACAGAATGATTGAAATTTCAATTCCCTGAACCCAGCCACGTTACATCTACACTTTCAGATACACTGCCCCACAACTGCCATCCTCATTTAACAGATGGCACAACTAAGGTGCAGAAGCATTACCTGATCTGCCCAAGCTTCTTAAGGAAAGCACAAGCAGCTGGGATGCAAACTGATTGTTCTTGATTTTCACTGTTGTCCATTTAATCATGTTGCTCCCCTGCTGTATTATAGGGCACTTTATCCAGATATCCAGGTATTGACATCTTACTCATGGTCCAATTCACACAATGCTATCATGGTTTTCTCCTACCCTAAAGGCAATATAAGGCTATAAAGTTATCCTACCATATGTATGGGGAAGAAAGGGCTTGAAATTCACAGGCGGAACTTAGAAATAAGCACAAATAACGTAATAAACTAGAAGTTCAGCTCCTTACTTTGTGCTGTGTGGATACATCTGTAGAACATTTATATGAATAATCCAGTCCCATTTCTCCAAAGGCAATAGCTTTAGGGTGCCGCATGGCTTGTAGGAGGCTTCTTTCGTGAAATTCAGTGTAGTAACGTGCAAAGTGTGGATGACAGCCAAATGCTCCCCAAACCATGTCTTCTTTTAACAAGTCCTCCCACAAAGAGTCCCTCAGAGTGCGAGGGTCACAGAAGTCAGTTATACAGCCTTGAAATTCTTTGGGAAAGGAGCTGTGGTAAACCCCTCTAAACTTTGCAAAGGTCCCCTTAAAAGACAGCTTGGAATACAGCATATCCAGATGGCAATGGGTATCAACAAAGCCTTCCTCCAAATATTTAGGCAGCTCATCAGGCACTTCCCTGTTCATGTATTCATTACTAAAAGAATCTGACAGTCGGACTCTACGGACAACGGGAGCACAGGATCCCACTTCCTCCCTAGATGGTCTACTTCTTTCCCTGCAGACCACAGAAGAATCACGGGAACGTGATCTCCAATGTCCACCTTCAACTGGTGACTCTACATCTTCAGATGCATTGAAAGAAGCATTTGTTGCAAGTTCTACAGAAATGTCACAGAGAGAATTGGTACCTGAGCCAGTTAGATAGGAAGTATCCTGGCTGGGGCTCAAAAACGAACAACACTCAGGTGGTTTGGGACTACTCGTCCAGCACCCTACAGAGCCACCCCACATGCAACTATTCACATTAGTAGGATATGTTAAGTTATCACTTAAAGTTCGTGAAGTCTCCAAAATTCTTGGACTATTAAGCTGTGGAAGTGAATCCTCCTGGGAGAATCTAGCCAAAGATTCTACATCTTCTACATCAGACCAATCGCTTCCTACAGACGGGTTCTTCTCTGGCATTTTTTTCTGTTCAAACTGTAAACCAAAAGGCAAAAATCACAATAGATCAACAAAATAAACTTAATTTTGTGGACAGTGAATTGCAAGAATATCAATTAGGGCCCCGCTATGTGTTCATATGCAAGCTGGAGAGAAACCAGCTATAGAATTGTTACATTTTTTTGTGATAATTACTTTGCATGTGTAGCTGGTCTAAATGTATTGTGTGATTAACCAATTGGTTGTACGATAATTACTTTGCACATGTGGCCAGCCTTACTTGGGATGTGTGGCCAGTCAAATTTATTGCATGATTAACCAGTTAATTGTATAATATATGTAACACATAGCAGGGGCCTTAGACACTTAGCTTTATAGACCAGCTGTATCTTACCAAGAACAGAGCAATTCCAGCAAGCACATCAGTTTCAGGCTAGACTAGCATATCTAGGGTAGAGGCCTAGGACAATGGGTAAAAAGGGGCAGCAGAAACTTCTTTCCTTTCTTGTGTCCTTGTAACAAGGTATTTTAACATAATTCACAGATTCATTGGAACCTGATAGGGTCATGCTGTGAACACTTCCGCTATGTCTTCACACTTGTGACCTCTGGGCTGTCAACTGTGCGCTTTGGCACCCACTGAAATATACTGACAATCTTTAAATACTGTACCTTATCACTGCCTAATGCAGAGAGGTATACTTTGCCTTGAGTTCAGCTACTCTGGTGCCTGGAATTTTTCCAGCAGAAAATAGCTCATCCAGGAACTGAGAAACTAAGAAGAGACTCCTTTTGCGCAACCGTAACTCTTTGTTGTCTATATCTTCATAATCAGCATTTCAGACTTCTACACTGCTTAGACTACATTAATGTAGAAGACAACTAACTACAGGATTACACATGAGAGGGTATCAACCAAGGCGTGCTGGACTCTGTGTATTACATGGCAGCATGGCTAAACTTCACTGCTTGCTAACAAGGGCTACCTTCCAAACCTGTCCTGAGTCAAAGATAAGTGCCCCTACATTCATATTCTTTATGTATTGAGGAAATGGAGGATAGCCATTGATTTCTATCCTAATGGCACTATTATCTAGTGGACAAATCAAGACAAATTTTCAGTAGTGGTCACTTACTAGATTGCACCCTGTTGAAAGAGTTCTTCATTTTGTCAGAACTTTTATTTTGCTCATTTAAGATTTTAGCTAGTAATATCTCCAATCCCATGCCAGTGTGTCTTACTCAAGAAACATTATTTCACAGTTCAACATGCGCACTCTCACCTCAAGGCCATCTTCTGAACTCGAAGAGGGCTCATCAACAAATACAAGCTTCGAAGGGGGTTCTGCAATAACCGTCCTCTGGAAAGTCACAGGCTTTTTTCTGGGGTCACTCAAAATGACAACTGACCTAGCACAACTACTTCCATCTGTGGCAGTTTTCTGTCCATCTAAGTCTAGTGGGAGATGCTGATCTTCTTCAACCCTTGGAGCTGTACAGAAGCTTCTTGAATTGCCACCCAACTGGCAAGGCTTTTTTCTATGGTCAGGGCTTTCAGTCTTAACTTCATCTGATGGAGGTGCCGTCCTTCTGGGCAGTTGGTTTATCAAGTGCCCAAACACACCCTGGAGAGCCTTAAGATATATTACTGTTGATCCTTGGTCCTTCATTCTCTTTTTCCTGTGACTTACAGTCTCCTCTTCTTCTGAAGCACCCCTACTTTCAGTCCTTGGTGCCAAGTTACAGTCTGCATCATCCTTGGATTTATTCTCAATCTGTGTAATAAATGAAAAATGATATTACTCAGTTGTTCATTAAATACCAAGTCATTTTATCAATCACAAAGCATTTATGTTTGAGGAGTACTGAACTAAGAATTCCTCTCAGGATATGACAAAGGTGACTAATGTGAAACCCGTTCAGGGAAGCTAATGGATCTGGCATCTGATGGAATGTCCTGAGACCTATGGTTTGGAGACTACACCTACGAAAATCACAATCTGCTTCTTTTTCTGAAAAAAACATGGAAGCCAAGAGGCTGCACAGGTAACTGCAAAACCAGCCTAGTTGGCAAAAGCAGAAGTACCTCTCTGGAAGAGGATTACTTCTCGCCATTGCCCCTCTATACACCACATACTGTTTTCAGCTGAAACACTTTTCAATAACTTTCTATTAAGTCCCTAGTAGCCAGTTCTCCCCATCACATTTTCATTTCGCTCCTTTCTGCAAACTCAGGGGACTACTACATGCTACACATTCCCCAGGGGGCTGTTACTCCCATCTCCTTCAGCACGTCTTGCCTTTGGGGTAACACCACTGGGGTTTCTAAATTAGCTCGTCCTAGTGAAGCCACGATGATACCATTTGGAACGCTGCATCTGATGAAATGATCTTGGGTCCACAAAAGCTTGTGCTCTATACACACACCACATATACATATATATGCATGTACACACATATACTATATAAATATATGAGCACATACACACCCCCACACCATGCATATACACGTGCCTATACACATGCACACACGCCACATATGCACGTGCATGTATGCACACACACCACATATGCATGGGCATATGTACTTCCACGTGTACACATACACTATATCACAATGGTGGGTAAAATAGAGCCTGCAGGCCGGATCCAACCCACCAAATGGTTGTATCGAGCCCATTGGCAGCTGGTGAACTTAGCCAAATAATTACCCATATACTATATACACGTGTGTGTGTATATACACACACACACACATACATACACACACACACGTGTGTATGTGCACACACATGCATATATGTATGTATACACACATATTGTGTGTATGCACACGTGCACCACACACACACATTCCCCACAGGGAAACATGTCTGAGCTGCAGTAGAGTCTGCCCATCCGGGACAGACCTCATCAGCCCTCTTTGGACACCCAAATGTGACAATCACCGAAGACAACCATCCTCAACTGCCAGGGATTGCTGAAGAAGACCCTCCCCCTCCCCATATACACATGCACACACACACACACACACGCTGCATATGCATACACACACGCACGCGAGTGTATGTGCATATATACGTGTATATGCAAGAGCATCCATATGTGTGCTCGCGTGCGCGCGCACGCACACGCACACACACACACACACACGCGCGCGCGCGCGCGCC